TGGTTGAGAGAAAAAAAATGACTGGATGGATTTTCACTAAATTTTCAGGATACAGCTGGCATATAACTGTCTTAAGAAATAGTCTAGGGATGCCTGGGTGGCTCAGCGGTTGAGCATCTGCCTTTGGCTCAGGGTGTGGTCCCAGAGTCCTGGGATCGAGTCCCACATTGGGCTCTCTCCATGGAGCCTGCTTCTCCCTCTGCCTGTGTCTCTGTCTCTGTCTGTCTGTCTGTGTTTCTCATGAATAAATAAAATCTTAAGAAAAAATAGTCTATGTGTTACACACACCATTCTTTTGCAGAGCACACAAAAAAAGTAGAGACTAACTTTCCAGAGCAGCTAAAACTAAAAAGTATAACAAAAGACCCATGAAATATTAAAAGGCTGGTAATAGTGAAGGATAGGCCATTTTGTAAAAAAAAAAAAAAAAAAAAAACAATGCTATGGATGGACCGGGAGAAATCTGTGGTTTCAAATTTAAACTCCAAATTATTCAACTCAAAGGCAATCAATCCACAAATTCCATGCATTGGTTTGCAATGACATTAATTCTCATAGACACAACAGAATACAATGTGTCCCAGAAAAAGTGGTAATAGGGATTTATTTACATAATGATAGTTAATGATTCTCCCAAACTATGGGGAGGAGGCTAACTACTATATAATAGAGGTTCTGAACTGAAAAGAGGAAAAAATGTTTGTCTCAGTTTAGGTTTGCCCAGAAGCAAGTCCTGAGACAAAGATTCACATGTGATGCTTAAAGAAGAGAAAACAACAGTGGGGGAAGAAGATAGTGAGCCTAGGAAAGAAAAGCAAGTTATTAATCAAGTATTCAAGGTGGATTTAAAAACCAAAACAAAACAAAACCAACCAACAAACAAAAACAACAAAAAACTAATTCTACTGGGGATATCTGGCAACCAGACTATAGCAGTCTAGCCAGGGTGTGAAAGATACATTTATCTTATATATTTTATATGATTCATGTCAATCATTAGCTAGGGCTACTCCCAGGAAGTATTAATTACATAGCATTGCTGATCTACTGAGCAGGAAGGTAAAGTATACTCTGGTGACAAGAGCCCTCAGGCAAAGAAATACAGGTGCTGGCAATTGGGATAAGAGCCAGATACACTGAAGTAGCAAGAGCAAGGGGATACTGATGATAAACTAACAACTGTGTGGACAAAAATAATCTAGAAGACCCAATACAAGAGGGGCTTGAGCTGGACTTTGAGAAATGGGTTGGATTCGGTTAATATCAGGTTAATATTTACACTGAATGAGCAATTGTAACATGACACAGACAACCATACAGTGTAAGCCCCTTAATGTAAAATAATAGGAAGTAAATAATACCTATGAACTCTTTCTGCCCACTGAAAAAAAATTTTGTTTTACTCTAAATAACCTGGAGACTTAACTTCCAGTTTGTAAAAAATACATGCTAAAAGACATTGTAATGAAACAATTTACAAAATTCAGAATATGGGAAACTCTACAGGGCAGGTAATCGTAATTCTTAAATAAATCACAAGGAAAAAAATTATAGGGGCACCTATAGATCAAAGACCATCAAATGCAATGGGGAGACTTTGTTTAGGTCCTATTTTAAGCAAATCAATTATAAAATATATGAAACAATATTTGAGACAATCATATTTGATATTGAATGAGTCTTCTATGATATTACAGAATTATTAAAATTTTAGTTGTGCTACTGATATCATAGTTATGTTCTTAAGAGCCACTTTACATTTCAGATATATGTTCATAATTCCAAAAAGCTAAACCTTAAATATTTATCAATAAAACAATATGGTGTCTGGTATTTATGTCACAAGAATCCAAAGGACTGGGATAACTATACACTTGTAATTGTTTATTCTAGATGATTAATAAGGAAGCGCTCCCTATATTAATCTAACACGTGTTTGAATACAAAGATTGGGTATCTCAAGTGAGTCTAGAAAAGCAGTAATGATGGGGTGCCCGGATGACTCCAAGAGCATGCAACTCTTGACCTTGGGGTAGCGAGTTCAAGACCCACACTGGGTGTAGAGATCACTAAAAAATAAACCTAAAAAAATAAAAAATAAAAGCAAAAAAGCAGTAATGAAATGCTGACCAGCATACATAACTTCACCATGAGAAGAAAACGCTTCCGAGGTCTCCAATTCAGTCAGGAAGCAAGGGTCCACCTTCACAGGTTCAACTCGCTGATGGCCAAGGTGACAGTTTAGGAAAGAAAAACAGCCCTGGCCTAGCCGACTACCAACACCTGGCTTTGCCATCTTGGAATCACCTAACTTCTTTAGGGTGTTGGTACTTGAGGGTACAGGAAGTGAAATAATAAGCAAAAAGTACACACACAAAAAAATAAGCAAAAAGCACGGGGCAGCCCGGGGGGGGGGGGGGGGACTTAGCGGTTGTGCACCTGCCTTCAGCCCAGGGCGTGACCCCGGGGACCCAGGATCGAGTCCCGCATGGGCTCCCTGCAGGCAGCCTGCGTCTCCCTCTGCCTGTGTCTCTGCCTCTCTCTGTGTGTCTCTATGAATACATAAGTAAAACATTTAAAAAAAAAAATAAGCAACAGCACGAATAGTAATGGTGTTGTGGGCACTAAATGCTGACCTTCCCAAGAGATCTGGACGCATGACTGCAGCCCCAGGAGCTGTTGTGGGCACTTGCCATCCACTTTTTAGAGAACGATTAAACCAAGGAGGCATCCATACAAGGTACCATTTTGCACACGACGAGTTCAGGTTCAGAGGCGCAGCGCCAGTTGCAGGTCACGCCCTGCAGTACTGCGTGCAGCCAATCCTGCGGGAAAGAGCGCGGGGCAGCAGACCACACCTGGGGGGGGGCCCTGAGTGTGAAACGCTGAGCAACTTACAACCGCTTCCACACACCTACAGTTCCCCGTCGTCTGCGCCACGCCTCCCGCGCCTCGGTACGACCGACCGCCGAGATGCTGGACCTCAGCGCCCGCACCTGCCTCCCCGGCCCCTCACGCGTGCTTCCCCCGCCCCCGAGGCCCCGCCCCCGAGGCCCCGCCCCCTCGCGGACCGCGCACGGTTAGCGACCGCCGAACTACATTTCCCAGAAAACCGTTGGAAAGACGGCGGCCCTTCGCCGGAAGTCGGGAGGGCTGCATCCGGCGCCGGGAAGAGCGAGAGCGGGGGTTTTCCGGGTCTTGCGGCTATTTCCTGCTCCGCTCCGGTCTGGTGACCTCTGGGTTAGTAGCGGCGGCGGCGAGTGCGTCGGCGCCCGAGCCCGCCTTGCGGTGGGTGACGGGCTCCCAGCGCCTGTGGGTGTCGCGCCGCCGGCCTCGGGGTGGGGCGCAGCCTGGGGGGGCGGGGCGCGGGCGGGAGCTGGGGGCGCGCAGCGCTGGGCTCCCCCCTCCCCCGCCCCGACCCTACCTCCACCTCCGTCCCCCATCCCGCCTCCCCCCTCCCATCCATCCATCCACCCGCCCTCCTCCCTCCCTGCCCTCCCCCTCCCTCACTTCACCCCCTCCCCCGCCTCCATCTCCTCCACCCTCCCCCATCTTCACCTCCACCTCCAACCCTCGCTCCCTCACCCCTCCCCCACCTCCACCCTGTCTCCACCTCCACCACCCTTCCAGCCCCATCTCGCCGTCCCCCCATCTCCACCTCCCCCTCCCCCCATCTCTACCTCCACCCTCGCTGCCCCCTATCTCCACCTCCGCCTCCCATGTCCACCTCCCCCACCCCGGGGAGGGGGCAGGGGCGCGGCCCGGCCCGGCCCTGGAGGTGGGGGAGGCCGAGGGCCGCTGCACCTGCAGGTTCACGTTTGAAGGACGGAATCCCCCAGTAGCGACCGGAGAGTAAAGGACGCCGAAGAGGAGGGAGAGCCCGGCGTGGCCGCGAAGGACGCGGAACGCGCTGAGCAGGGCCCGTGACCTCCGGGGCCCCGGGCTCCCCAGCGGGGGAAAGGACGTTTCGGGCGGCGGGTGTTGCCTTGGGAAAGCCCCTGGCCCCCGGACCACCCCGTCCCGCCTTCAGGGCCTTGACCCCGCGGGGACCTGCCCGTGAGAAACGAGGTCAATCCAGGGCGCCGCTGGAGTTCGGGGAGGTGTGACTGCAGTGAGGACGCCGCTTTCTGTCTAGTCGGCTTCGCGGCCAAAACAAGGGGGGAAAAAAGCTACCGGGGACCAGTATTCATTTCCCCTCCTCCCTCCTGAGAGCCCCGCAGCATCAGGACCGCCTGCGGGGCGTGAATCGTCCTCTGGGGGGGACCCCTGCGGCCCGAGGCCTGGGGGAGGGCGAGGAAACCGCTGCGACCTCGGAGCACCCGAGGCAGCAGGACCCTGCCCGAGGCCAGCCTCCCCGAGGAACCGGGGAGCTGGAGGAACCACAGCAGCTCCGTGGGCAGCTCGGAAGGGAAGGGAGGCCGCCCCCGTGTGCCCGCCGACAGCAGGGGGCCAGGTGCGGTCCGGGCATCGTGTTTGTACACGAGTCCTCTAGACACCTCACTGGAAGACGATAGGTGCACTCTACGGTAGATCGAAGGACATGAATTGGTTTTCTAATAGAGAGGTCGCTCCCCTCCCCCCAACTGAAGTTGTGTACGTATTTTCACCATTCCTAGGAGGTTTGGTTTTGTTTTGTTTTGTTCTAAGCATTTTATTTTAATTGCAGTAATGGTGGCATACACGTGGTATTAGTTCCAGGCGTACAGCACTGCGATTCAACAGTCTTATACACTCGAGGGCTCATCCCACCCCCTCCCCTTTGGTGAGTGGTCACATTTGACCCTTTTTAGAAGCACTGGAAAGATACAAACTGGAAAGGTGTACACTTCCATCATTTCAGCCCATTTTTTTCCCCTAAATTTTGTTCATACTCCCTCTTCTGTACACTTGACCTGCCAAATTGCAGCGTGAGAACACTAGAGGCAACAGCAGTCACAATGTATGGATTATGACCTTTCCTTTTTTTTTTTTTTTTTTAAGATTTCATTTACTCATGAGAGACACAGAGAGAGAGGCAGGCTCCATGTAGGGAGCCCAAAGTGGGACTCCATCCCAGGACCCCAGGATGACGCCCTGAGCCAAAGGCAGCACTAAACTGCTGAGCCAGCCGGGCTGCCCGCGATCTTTCCTTTTTAGACTCAATATTGCGTATAATGATGATAGCCTACTTAGAATCCCAAATCAATTTTTTTAACTTTTTTTAATTTTGTTTATTTATTCATGAGACACAGAGAAGCAGAGACACAGGCAGAGGGAGAAGCAGGCTCTGTGCAGGAAGCCCGATGCAGGAATTGACCCCGGGTCTCCATGATCACGCCCTGGACTGAAGGAGGCGCTAAACCGTTGAGCCACTCGGGCTGCCCCCCAAATCTATTCTTTTTTTTTTTTTTTAAGATTTTATTTATTCATGAAAGAGAGAGAGAGACACTGGCAGAGAGAGAAGCAGTTCTCATGCAGGGAGCCCGATGTGGGACTCAATCCCTGGTCTCCACTGGTCTCCAGGATCACGCCCAGGGCCGAAGGCAGGCGCTGAATCACTGAGCCACTCAGGGATCCCCAAATCAATTCTTAATAGCATTTCACTAAACAAAAATCCATACCTTAAAAAAAAAAAAAAAAAACACTTTGTTCTAGAGAACTTAAGCATGAACCATTTCCACAAAGAATGGCTCAGTTTGTCCTCTACCACTTTCAATCCATCTTGAGACAACATTCATTAAGAGGTAGATTTTCTATGTATCTTTTTCCTTACTGAAATAAGCGAGTAATAAAGCAGACAAAGTTAATGGTTTAAAAAGTTTCTTGGATTCAAATTTTGTCAAAGTGACCAAATGAACGATGTTCAATAACAGATCCAAAATAAATGGTCGTCTGATTTATGGCCAGGACAGTAACCGCAGTGGAGTGGGACAAACGTTAAGTTCAAGAATGGCGCCAAGTCATCTGGATTATCCACTGGCATAAAAATGTATCTTGCCCCCACTTCACGCTATGAACAAAAATCAATCCCAGATGGATTGTAGAATTAGTTGTGCAGGGAAACCAATAAATCGCTTTCATGTGAAATTCTGAAGGATCAGCTGTAGGATCATAATTTTCCTAAGGGCAGGCACCTGTTTCTGGTATCGTCGACTCTAAGAGAATACTGGTTGTCATCTGCTAAAAAAAAAAAAAAAAACAACCTGTAACTTGACTTCTGTCTGCTTTAACTCCCCTCATTCCCCTGCTCTATAATGAAATCCCTCTGGTCTAGTTCAGATACCCCCTCCTCTTTATAATGCTTGTTACATGACACTCCTCAAGAGTATGCCCCTCCTTATCTTTATTGCCAAAACTCTTTATACATTATGTTATACACCCCCCCATGGCAAATTATATTTGAAATGTATATTTAAAACAACTTTGAAATACATGCTGTGATGACAGTTGAGCACTAATTACCTTTTCCGTAACTATCCTTAATTACGTGTGCATTCAGGTAATGTTCCATCATTGAATAAACAGCAATTGAAAATGAGAGGGTTTTTTTTTTTCTATTTCCCTCTTTTTAAGGAAGAAATGTCTTCTATAAAAAGCCCAAAGCAAGAAATAATTTCCCAGTTTCACTATTCAGCTGCTGAAGGAGACATTGCCAGGTTAACTGTAATCCTCAGTCATTCTCCATCTCTTCTCAATGAAACTTCTGAAAATGGCTGGACTGCTTTAATGTATGCTGCAAGGAATGGGCACCCAGATGTTGTCCAGTTTCTACTTGACAAAGGGTAAACATTTTAGGCACTACTACTTGAAGGGCTCTGTGGTTTAACTTCCGGGTTATATATTTACTTTTAAATTTTTCTTGTAGCCATATACCATTGGGCTTGTAATTATTATATAAAAACATAGCATAATATCTAACTAATAGCCTTTAACTTCTTTTTTTGAGGGATAAATATCCTTCATACCTATGGCAAAGAAAGTTTATGAGTTAGTCTAATCTTTTTCTCCCAAATAGAAAACATAGATCTACCCAGTATGACTGTCAAGAACCCCTTGTAAAAATTTTAATTTCTTCTTATAACACATAAGATTTACTGCTTTTTTATTTTACAGTTCTCAGAAAATGTTAACTATCTACTATCTCTAACTTTTCATCATTTACGATGATTTCTTTTAACTTTCCCACTAGCAAATTTTGTACTAAGAGAAAAAAAATATGCATAATCATTAAAGGAGCAATCGTGCATCTGGAAATATTTTATTGTGATAAATATTAAAGAAAGTGCTTATTTCCTATTTTATTTTTCTTTTCATCTGTAGGTGTGACAGATCCATTGCCAATAAATCAAGGCAGACTGCACTGGATATTGCTAAATTTTGGGGTTATAAGCATATAGCTAACTTACTGGCTAATGCTAAAAGTGGGATGAAGCCTTGGTTCCTAAGTAATGAAGTGGAAGAATGTGAAAATTATTTTAGCAGGACACTCTTAGACCGAAAAAGTGAAAAAAGAAATAATTCTGACTGGCTACTAGCTAAAGAAAGCCATCCAGCCACAGTTTATATCCTCTTCTCAGATTTAAATCCCTTGGTTACTCTAGGTGGCAATAAAGAAACTTTCCAACAGCCAGAAGTCAGGCTTTGTCAGCTGAACTACACAGATGTAAAAGATTATTTGTCTCAGCCTGAAAAGATCACCTTGATTTTCCTTGGAGTAGAACTTGAAATGAAAAAAGAGTCATTTAATTATGCTGGAGAAGTCCCAAGAGAAGAAGAAGATGGGTTGGTTGCCTGGTTTGCTCTAGGTATAGATTCTGTTGCTGCCGAAGAATTTAAGCAAAGACATGAAAATTGTTATTTTCTTCATCCTCCAATGCCGGCTCTTCTGCAATTGAAAGAAAAAGAAGCTGGTAAGAAAAGAACATGGCTTACTTGTGTTGGAAAGAATACTGTTTTTGGAACCGGTTTGAAGTCACACATACCTTCATTTTATAGAAGGCAAACTTTTTTCAGTAAGCAATATTAGGCTATCTTCATTAGAACTTTGCTAAAGTTCTCACTCTAGGGGACTAGTCGCCAGAGCAGTTACAACAGTTTTAATCAGCCAGGATTAGTTTCCCCAGAATTAATGCTAATGCGGGCTGGTTTCACTTGATTCTTCAGTGAATCATTACTGAGCACCTGCTATACACTGGCATAATGGCAAAGACCTTGACTATTTTGTTTTCTGTTGTTGGGTATGCTAGTTCACATAGGGCCTTATATGCCATGGTTTTTATTTTAAATTCCATTTAAATGTTGTGACCAGACCCATAGTTTAAAAAGAAACAAAAACCCCACTCTGCCTGCTTTGTAGATCATGAATTGTAGGCAATTGAGTGTGAAGTCAGAGGTAACGTTAAGAGCGGATTAGAGAGTACAGTACCTCTCAGTTAAGAGCTTGCAGTGGATTGGGTTAATGGAGAGAAAGGAAGAATTTGAGATGCTGTAGAGGTAAAATTAATAGGGCTTGATCAGTAGGTTGAGAGTATTTTAACAGAGAGTGATAGTAACCTGGACTACAGACTGAATTAAGGTGACCATGGTAGAGATGGAGAAAAGGAAAATATTCAGGGTATATTTTAGAAAAATCATCAGCATCTGCTAATGAATTGGGTATGGGGTATATAATGAAGGAAAAGATCAAGTATGGTTGCTAAGTGTGAGACTTTAGTAATTTGGTAGATAGTGCTACTGTTTCTTGATAAAACGGGGTGACAAGCAAGGGAAGCAGGACAGAGTTAAATATATCGAGATTTGAATCTGGTCATGTTGAGTTTTAGAGAAAGATATTAGAATCTGGAACACAGAGGAGAGGTGTGATCTGGAATGACCCCTATGGGAGTCATCAACATGAAGGTGTTATTTAAATCTCAGAAAACTACTGAGATTGAGATAGAGAGTTGAGAGCAAGCAAGAAAGAAAGCCTCAGAATCATACCCAAATCTCCCTAAATTTTTAGATCAAGTAGAAACAGAGATGCTATCAAAGGTATTGTCCACAGTGTGGCCTGACCACAAGTAAGGTGAAAGGTGCTCCTGGAAACCAAGAGAGCAGAGTATTTCAAGGAGGAAGTGGTTAAATACATTGAATGCTGGTGAGAATTTGAGTAAGACAGACAAAGACTTTTTTTTTTTTTAAAGATCTTTCATTTTGGTAATATGAGGCTATTGATGAATTTGATAAGAGGGGTATCAACGAAGTGGAAGGAATGTAAGGTAAATTATGCTAAATTAGAGTTATTGGAAGGTTAGGAAGGAGTCACTTCTCAATATCCACCTTCCCTTAGGCGATGTGTGGTGGGCCCCTCCAGAGACTGCGTAGATATCTCCTCCCAAAATCTGGATTGGTATGTTTTATTCTCCACATCTATGGAGAAAACCTTGCACTTTTTAAAGAAAACATCTTTTCTTTGTAGCTATATAATTTTAAGATGAAAACGATCGCTCTCTTTTTTTTTTTAATTAGAAAACTGAGGTCCTTTTATTTTCTTGTTATATAAACTTACACGGTTAACCTGTTGGTGCCTCAGTTTCCTCCTCCAGAAAAAAAAGGATAATAGTAGTATCTACATCATAGGATTGCTCTAAACATTAAATAAGGTGAGGTGACTCATTGAGCTATGTAAGTATTTTTATTTCACATAAAATAAATTTGTATTCACTGTCATATATACTGTCCATTTCACACTATCCTCTGTATCAGGTAGTCTAATAGAAATATATTGTTTTTGGATACCTGGGTGGCTGAGTGGTTGAGCATCTGCCCTTGGCTCAGGTCCTGATCCAGGGTCCTGGGACTGAGTCCCACAGTGGGCTTCCCACAGGGAGCCTGCTTCTCCCTCAGCCTATGTCTCTGCCTCTCTCTCTCTGTCTCTCATGAATACATAATATCTTTAAAATATATATATATACACCTGTTTTGTTCTTCACAAATAAAGATTGAAGATGATATAAAAGATCTTTGCATGATGTTTTGCACATTGTTGGTACTCAATAAATATTAGCTTCTTATTGAAGCAGTTTTGAAAAAGTGTAGATACTTTGCATAAGTTTCATATTGTAAGGTAACGTAGTAGGCAGATATTTAATGTTGCCTATGGTTTGTTGAATTTCGGTATTAAAATGTTTTTGTGTGTGGTTTATTGGTTTTGTTTTTCCAGTTTAAAACATTGTTACTGCTATTTATGGTTATTCTGATTTTTTTTCAAAAATCCTTAAACCAAATAATAATGTATTTTAGTGAGAGCAAGTTTGTCAGGCAAATGCCTATTCAGCATTTCTACTTTTATTGCTTCAATCATAACATTTCTGGTCAGGCCATATTCTTTTTTGATGTAGCAGGCGAAAGGCCAAAGTATATATATTCTAAGATTTATTCTAGTAGGCATTTTTTATGAATAGGGCTAACCATGAATTATAACTTTAGTATTTTTTTTTTTAATATTCTGTGCAGTTTCCAATTGTAAACAGGATGTGTTTCACATATGCTGGTGACATGGACTAGTCGTGGTTTAGTCACCTAGGACAGGAGAAAGAAGTTCCTACAGTTTGCTCTGAATATTTTCTTAGGATCCAAGTCTAAATTAGGAAGTGGCTGCATAGTGTATTTTTGTAAAAGTCACTGTTGTAAAGTCAGTATTTGTAAAATCACCATACGCTACAATCTTGTATATCCAAAATATAAAAATCATTCTATAGTAAAAGGCCGAGCTAATATAGTGCATAAGATAGATGTACGAACATCTATCTGCAAGTTTTATTAGTTAAAATTAAAAGTTAAATTTTCATCTGTCATCTGTTGGATTAGATATTTTACTTCAAAAGAAACATTCCTCATAAAAATAAGAATACTAAAATTCTTGATCACACAGCTATTCAGAGAATATAGTGTATGCCTTGACTTACAAACATTTTACTTGGATATTACTTATCACAGAACTAAAACTTTTTATGCTTCTCTTAAAGGGGTTGTAGCTCAAGCAAGATCAGTTCTTGCCTGGCACAGTCGATATAAGTTCTGCCCAACCTGTGGAAGTGCAACTAAAATTGAAGAAGGTGGCTACAAAAGAGTATGCTTAAAAGAAGACTGCCCTAGCCTCCATGGTGTTCACAATACATCATATCCAAGAGTTGGTAAGCCTTTTCCATGACACTAAAATCTCAGCCATCTGGAACCTCGGGAGTAAGACATTATGGGAAGACAAGATTTTGAGTTGTTGAGAGGTTCACCTTTTCATTAAATAAAATAAGAATTAATGTAACTGTTAAGACTATAAATAGTAAAGTATCATATAGTTCCACGACTTTTAAGTAAGGGACATTGTGTGTAATTGACCATTTATTAACTCTTGAGTTAATCGATATGAATTTGAATGTGTTAAAATACATGATTTCAAAAGTCTACCCCATTGGGATCTACTTAGTGCAGAGATTAAAAAAAAAAAAAAAAAAAAACACAGAAGCCCCCAAAATTCAGTGCCTTTTTGAGGCATCACCAAGGCAGTACAGCCTGCAGCTAGCTTTTCATCCCTGCTGCTGTCTTCCTATACCTTCTGTCCTCCTAATTGCTGCTTTGGAGTCTTCTCTAGGTTGGAAATCTGAAAACCTAGACCTTTAGAACTTATGAAAAAATAAGAGATAAACAGCAATACCTGAGGAAGTCTCCTGAGAGTAAAATGCATGACTTTGTGACACCTGGTTTCACTGCTCAGGAGCCTTTTACATTTGACTCCAGTTCTCAATCATGACCTAGTAAGGAGAATTCACTGCCTTTAATGACTTCTGGGAAATAAACTGTTATTTAATTTAAATTTCATCTTTTTAATGGCTTAAACTTAATCATAGAGCCACATTAGCTTTTAAAAACATTTGTTCAGGATTGGAGTGGAAGGGAAAGGCAAATTCACGTTGGCTACGGTAAAATTTGTATTTTCTTCATGCTGTATAATACCCACTCTAACTTTTTTATAATTAAAAAAATATATGTGCCTAGCATACCATAAGTATATAATAAATGTTTCTATTAAGAAGACTACAAAATTAGTCTTCCTTTAGGATACAATATTCTATGCAAGTTCCCTGAAATAAACAGAAACAGAAAGAAACAATCTTAGACCAGAGTCTTGTTCTTATGGGAGATACACCTTTTTATTATATTATTTGACAGTGAATCTAAATTATTTTTTCCTATCATTCATTCATCTGATTTTTTTAAAAACAGATCCAGTAGTAATCATGCAAGTTATTCATCCAGATGGGACCAAGTGTCTTTTAGGCAGGCAGAAAAGATTTCCCCCAGGCATGTTTACTTGCCTTGCTGGATTTATTGAACCTGGTAAGCCTTTTCTTAATAACTTTCATAATAACTTTCCTGTAACTTAAAATTTCCAAAAAAAAATTTTAGATGGCGTTTGACAAATTATCATGCTATGACATTTTTAATGGGATATTTTAAAATATTTTCTGTGTATTTTAAGTGATGTGATATTTGTTTTTACTAGTGGAATAATCTTGCCTGTTTTAAAAATTCAGCATTTCTTCTTTCATATATTGCTATTACCCAAAGTATCTGCGTGACTTACACCTCACTTCCTTCATTAGACCCAACTATGTTGACTTTTCAAAGAGGCCTTCCCGGACAGCCCCAAATACATTAGTTAGCCTTGTCATCCCCATTCCCAATTCTGTCATCCTCCCTGGCTTTTCCCTATAGCGCTCCTTACCATTTTACATGGTATGTATGTATGTGTGAACGTATCTCGGTATTTATTATCTGATATATGTGTGTATCTATTTGTCCACTCATTTATTATCTGCTCATATCAGAAAGCAAGTTGCATAAGGGCTGGGACTTTATTTCATTCATCCTTGTAGCCTGCACCCTTACAGCAGTGCCTTGTATGTAGTAGTAGTTAATAAATACCTGTGGAATAAATGATAATTAATACACATGTTTAATCTTAACTTCCAATGTTAATCTGCACTTAATAGTAATAGCAGTAAACATACTTTGCGCCACACTCTGTTTTGAAGGCTTTCCATATATTGAATCATAGGACCCTCGTACAGCCTCACAAAGTAGGTACTACTTTACAGCAGTTTTACCGATAGGGCATTGAGGTACAAGAGCTGAATAATTTGCCCAAGATCAAGCAGCTAATCAGTGATAGGGCAGGGGTACAAACCTGGGCATGCTGACTCCATGCTCTTAATCACTATGCTGTCTCTGGGACTCTAGGCTATGTTTTTAACTTCTATAAAACATTTTATTTAAAAATACTCTTCAGAAAAAAAAATACTCTTCAGTTCATCCATTCTGCTGTTGAACAATTAGTTTATATCAGTTTTTGCTATTTCAAACAATACTGCAAAGAATCCTCTTATACTACTCCTTGTGCACATTTGCAAGAGTTTTCAAGTGTATATACTTGAGAGTAGAATCGCTAACTCATGGGATATGAGCATCCTGACCTATTGTAGACATTGCCAAGTTGCTCTCGAAGTGTCCCTACCAGTTTACGCTCTTAACAGCACATGACATGTTGTTTTTCCACATCTTTACCAAGTTACAATTTTCATACTTTATAATTTGCCATCCTGATAGGTATGAGAAATAGTGTCATTGTAGTTTTCCATTTTCATTTCTCTCCTAATGGAGCATCTTTTTCAAATGTGTTTTAGGCATCCAATTTTCATTTTCTCTGAATTGTACATGTTTATATTCTTTGCCTAATTTTGTTTTGGTTCTTCCTTTTTTTTCTCATTATAGGAGTTTTGTGGTATGTATTGTATGCTAATCTTTAGCTATGGTCTTGCAGATATCTTAACACTAGTCTAATGACTTAACTTTCCATTCTATTTTTTTTTGGATGAACATAAGTTGTTAATTTTAATATAGGAAATACATCAACCTATTTGAAATAAAAAGCTATACTTAAATAGCAAAATATTCCTAAACTTTCAGATATACTTAAAAACCATTCCCTGTATTCTAATTCTCAATTCCAACAAATCAGAAATAAAAAGTACACTTCTAGGCATTACTTTATCATACCTGAGTCAACAGTCTTCTAGAAGAAAAAAATCATTTAGAAAGAAAAAGTACTGTTTCATCTTATGTTAAACTTTTAGTGTTAATGTGGTTTTTAATTCTTTTTAAGAAAAGTTATCTGCAATAATTGTTTGACAACATAAAAAATTTTAAGATTTTAGTAAGGAAAAGGCCAACCACTTATAAAAATCTTGGAATGATAATTTATAACTATTTAATGATAATACATAAATGAGATGCTATATAAAATAATTGCATAGTGTTTATCTACTAGGTTCTGGATAGTTGTGGATGTTACCATTTTTACACTGTAGCCGAAAAATTTGGACCTTCAAGAAAAGTTTTCTGGCATTTTGATTATGTACTTGGTCATATACTTTAAGAAATGTTTTTTTGGATTCCAGTCTAGTTTTAGGCTTGTGCTTTCTAATTCTTCGAATTGGGTTTCTGTCCAAAGTGATTTCCAAATGTTTGAACTATTCAGAGCACAAAATGTCCAAGGCATGTTCATCAGCTACTTGTTCTTTTGCCCCATTTGATTAGGGGAGACAATAGAAGATGCTGTTCGGAGAGAAGTAGAAGAGGAAAGTGGAGTCAAAGTTGGCCATGTTCAGTATGTCTCTTGTCAGCCATGGCCAATGCCCTCCTCCTTAATGATTGGTTGCTTAGCTGTGGCAGTGTCTACAGAAATTAAAGTTGACAAGAATGAAATAGAGGATGCCCGCTGGTTCACTAGAGAACAGGTAAAGTTCAATTTAATTTCCTTCTTCTATTGATTGTTTTCTGACTGTATCAGTTTGGGCATGCAGCAAGGATACATGTTTTCACCAAGTTGAATGAATGGCTGTGGCCCACCCATCATGCATGGATTGCAGTGTAATTGATGCGTCCTATGTTAACTCATTCTGTGAGATTGTTCGAGTTGATGATTCTGTGCCATTTTCTAATTTCAGATGTCATTCCTTCAGCTTTTCAATGGGCTCAAAATAGGTAAACATGAAATCAAAGATGAGAAACAGGAAGCTTAGACATTTGTATTTTAGTTTATAGCATTAAAACAAGTAGTTCTCAGAAAATATCAGTGAAAATGCTTAAATTTTTTGAAAAGTTCTTGTTCATTTTAAAATGTGCTTAACTAAGGGCAAGAATAACAAAACTATATAACAAAGATACATGCACAAGAACTTTTTTAAAACATCATCCTTCAGTGGTATAATGAAAGATAAATTACTTGTCTGTTTTGCTTAACCCAAAGTATTTGTATAGAAAACAAATGGAGGGATCCCTGGGTGGCGCAGCGGTTTGGCGCCTGCCTTTGGCCCAGGGCGCGATCCTGGAAACCCGGGATCGAATCCCACATCGGGCTCCCGGTGCATGGAGCCTGCTTCTCCCTCTGCCTGTGTCTCTGCCTTTCTCTCTCTCTCTCTGTGACTATCCTAAGTAAATAAAAATTAAAAAAAAAAAAAAAAAAGAAAAGAAAAGAAAACAAATGGATACACTATTAGTAGTGAAGACCTGAAATCCTTTGTGACTTTGCCTAAACAGAATTTTTATTTTATTTTATGCTCAACTTCAAAAAATAGAAATTCGATGTTTTTTAGAACTTTATAAAAGGGAACCTATTCCAAAAGTTGACTTCACTTTGAAAGTAAGTGTGGAGCGTGTACTTTTCTTGTTCATGTCTTTTTTTTTTTCTTTTGTCATAAGGGAATATGCTTTCTGGAATATTTATTAAAATTGATTCACTAGCTCATTGAATCAACTAAAAATACTGCACTAAATTTTGCATTTGAACGTGGATGTCACTTTCTATGTTGTTATTCACTGTAAGAGTCGTCACATTTTAATTAAGTTGCATAAGCATAGAAATAGTGTTTCAGTGTTGAAATCCTAATATATTTTATTATGGTGTATTTTAGGTTGTGGATGTTCTGACCAAAGGGAAGCAGCAGGCATTCTTTGTGCCACCGAGCCGAGCTATTGCCCATCAGTTACTCAAACACTGGATTGGAATGAACCCCAATCTCTAAATCAAATAACTAGACTCTGAGTATTACTTGATTCCTAATAACTTATTCCTCAAGTGAGATTAAAAATATTTAGTGCTTTGGAATGTCACAACACAAAATATCATTTTAGGTTCAGAAATATTTTCGACAGGTACTTTCCATCTTAACCATAGAATTTGTGTTTTTATAAATTACAGCACTGCCTCAGATTTTGTTAAATCCAATTCTGCCTTCTCCAAACTTTTTTTTTTGGTTGTGCTCTGCAATTCTATGTCACAAAACCATATTTCTAATAAGAAAAGTCATACTGTAAAACATATGTTCTGAAAATGTAAACAAAAATATGTAAACCTGAGTTCCCCTCTTGTAAGCATTAGACGAATCACTAAAGTTCTCATTTTAAAAGTTCAGACAAAATTATTTCAATGAATTTAAGCTTTATTTCCAGTCTTTTCCCTACCCTAAAGGTTCTTTCAGGGGTCAGTAGCTGATTTTTGCTCATTTCCCATCGTATTCCACTGGCTTCCTTGTTCCAGCAGTGGTGCTGTTACAGTGTTGCCACATCTATTTTGATCAGTGTTAAGAATTTTCTATGTTAATAACTGCCAGTGGTCAGAATACCATGCCTTCATTAAAGAGAGCTTAAGTGAGAGCATACCACTATGTAGGGAACCTCTTCCTTAAACCTAAAATCAATTATTATGTATAATTATCTGTTATGCTCGAGATTGCTGTTGAGACAAATCAAAATTCTCTTCTTCACTGAAATTAAATATATTTGAAAGGAATTATCCTCAAAGGTCAGATGTTAAATATTTCCCAGATTTACATATTCAGTAAAAACACTGGCTTTATGTCATTTTGTGATAAGGGCTATATCTATCTTAGCAAAAAGTTATGTAATCATTACTAACAATGTTTATTAAACCCCAATGCAACATTTTGGTTTTTGGCCTTAGCTCAACACATTCTAAGAAGCTTTATAAAAATAAGTGTATCTTAGAACTGAATCAGCAAGATTCAGAGAAAAGTGAAGTGTCATAATTCACAATTTTACAACATAGAACTGTCATATTTTATAAGGCTAGTTTGAAATTGTTTTAAAAGGTAGTCTATAAATGTATAAATTTATATAATTTGGCTCTTAGTCATTTTATGTGAGAACTGGAAGAGACCTTAAGGATAATATATGTCGTTCAGTGACCTTCTTTTATAGATAAGGAAAACGAAATCCTGAAAGGTAAATTTATTTAATTTAATCCATTAAAGTTGAATCAATTAATTAATCAAAGTCACACAATTACAACTTACCATTCTTCACACAATTAATTGTAGTAACAGTCAAATAACTTAATGTTAACAGTCTGTACTATATAGCCTAGTGCAGGAGTCTCCCTCTAATAGGAAGTAGAAATTAATACTAAAAAAAATAGAATAAAATAGAGGATAATAAGAACAAATTTACCAAATATTGTTAATTAAAATTTTAGATACTAAAATCATTTAACTTAAATGTGATCATTTTCTTAAATAAAACTTTATTTTACTAATGAACAATGATTCTCATCGTAATTGATGAAAGCTTATTGGTATTATTAGGACTTTAGACAAAATTGACTTGCACTGGACATTTAGATACATAATAAAATTTGAACTACATAAGTATCTAGAAAATTAGGTGCCTTGATTATTATGAAGTGCGATGAGGTTCAGTTTTATTCCAAATTTACTTAAAGAGTCTAAGACTGTATCAAAATTCTAGGGTTCCATGTTCAGATAATACAGTAAAATGTAAAATATCAACAAAATGTAGTTATAAATTTAGTCTTGGATATTTAATCCTATACTCAGGGAAAATCAATAAGTAAATTATTGTTATTAATAATCATTCTTAACATTCCTAACCTCTGAGAGGTGAATAAGCTACATATAAATAAAAGGAATAGTAAAGCAATTTTAATGGATCGAGAACAATGAATGTATTCTAATGGAAATGAAGGTAACAATACATTAAAATATTTATCTATTTTCTGTTTTCTGTGTTCTGTATTTTTTTAATGTTTTGATAAATGTCTTCTGAAAAATGAAAAAAGCCAAATTTTAGTCATCCTCCTGTTTAATGATGTATAAATAAAAAACATAAAAGCCCTTTTAAATGTAGTCATATCTGGAAGACTTAAATTTCTATTTTCATTCGTGTGTGTGTGTATATATGTATGTATGAACAAAAATAGAGATTTAAGTATATATACATACATATATATGCATGTATATATTCTTATATATACACATGTTCACATACATATATACATATATACAGTCAATACTTTTTCATCATCAGATTTGAAGTTACATGTCTATTGTCTCTTTTTTTATTACTAATCTCAAATTACCAGTCTGCATTTTGAACTTTTCACTGTTCAAAATGAACTTTTCTGTTCATGGAAGGGCTAGAATTAGAAGTGCACATATTTCATTTAGCTGGAAGAAATGATGAAATAACTTTTTCAAAGATCAGATCAGAGATTTGGGTGAAGACAGAAAAGAATGAAACTGCAAAGGGTGAGACCATGAGGTGGAAGGAGAGAATATGTTTGTTAATAAGTCAAATAAACTTAATTAAATCTCACATCACAGTAGATAGCTGGTTCTAGAACTGTGTTGCTAATGTGTATACAGCAAAATAGTAAGTGAAAATCTTCTGTAAAACAAATCCATTAATCATTTAGAATAAGATTTCCACAACACAAATTTTATTAAAGATGAGAGCCAACTGTTAGGTTCTGAGTGTGTGTGTGTGTGTGTATTCACATATTGCTGGATATCCACATCCATATCATGGATGTTAAAATTTATGTATGTGCTATGCTTAAAAGGCCCAGCAAAATAGGAGTATCTGTCTACAAATGTAAAAGAGCTAGGTGTTGAGGCAGACCAGAAGTCCTTGCAAATGGGTTGGGAGGGCAAGAGAGTTTGACTTAGTGCAGGTAGAGGGTGTTCAGTAAAGGGGTTCAGACACTAGGGAGCTTCCATACGGGTAGGGCCAGGTGAGAGACACAGAGGGTGTATCTCGCGGAGTCCGGGATAATGTTGCCAGAGCTTGCATCTTCAAAACATCTTACCCAACAGGAAAAAAATGGAAAGGAGTTTTTTTGTGTGAAAATAAACTCAATGCTGCAAATTATTTATTTCCCCCTGTGCTACACCTTGTCCTTTTTCTTCCGAGGACACTCAAAATTCAAAACAGCTGCTGTGAGAGCAAAGTGCGGTTTATTATCATCTACAGTAGATTTTCAGATGGCTCATTTTATTTGCCCAAAGTAGAATGGTAAAAAAGAAAGTTATTCAAGTAATAAAAATGGCATAGGAAAAATGGGTAATCAGAAAAGCCTGAGTTCTTTTATCATTTGGGAAAATGTTTTTCCCAAACATGAACATTTGAGCATGTTAATTGGGCTAACAGGCAAATTCCTCATTCTATTTTCACTGAAGGGTATCTATATGAAATTGTACTTATTGATGGAAATAGCACTTTCAACTTTTCTTTATTCCTTCAAGAGTACTGTGTTTCTCTTTTATTGCTAAGCACACAGTGCCTAGTATTGGACAATGTATATTTCTCCTTTTCACAATTCCCATTATAATGATGCTGTACAGAATAGTGGGGGCAGCTGTGAAATTTTAAAACCGATTTTAAGTTAAAAAAGAAGCCTTTCTGCAAATGGAAACTTTTTTCTAACTAGAAATTCTGATAATAGACAAAATATAAGGATCAAAAAAGTGCCCTGGCTTTCCAGTCCTAGGCTCTTGAAAACTATACCAAACTCTTGGTCTCACCCCTGATGGATTAAGAACATCCAAACCACTTAACTTGTGAGGTGGTTTCATTTTAAGTGATGTGAAAGTACCACCCAGAAGCAGAAATTGAAAAAACAGTACTCGTATCCATTTTAGAACAGCATAAATGGACAAGTGATGTTGTCTGAAGGTTGGGTTTTTGTTTTCTTTTGTTTTGTTTTTTTTTTTTTTACTTTTTATCCTGTCCATTTTACTCTCCCTGAAATTGTAGTCTATTGGAACAGTGTGATGTTTTGAACACCTCAGTAGAGTACCTTATAAATATTTATACTGCTTTCAGATAGCAGTGAGCTGAAGTCATCTCTATCAGTGGCGCTAAGAACAATTTAAAATGCCATTTATCCAACGGCTTTGCTGCTAAGAGTATTTTTGCTCTTTTTGCTGGATTTATTTGTGTTTATGAAACAAGCTTGAGTATTCTAATGCCAGTTTGGAGAATTTGGAACTCCAAATGAGATGCCCCAATGACATGCACAAATTCAAACCTCAGAGGCTGCCTTGGTACTGACCATCATCTGCTCTGCATTGTAGTGAGGTCTTCACTGGGAATGTAGCCATGAGTGGTAAGCCAGAGGAACCCTTGTGTGTTCTGGGAGGCACTGTCAAGGATGAAAAGAAAATACGTATCAGTGTGGGCCTCAAAGTTTTCATGGCTATATAGGTGTCGAATAATGATTATTTCAGAAAAATACTCTTATTTTACACTTATTACTGGGTTTGTCATACTGATCTTTTTCTTTGGTTCCCAGCCATCTCAAACATCCTCTTGAATAATAAACATTTTTCATTTTATTATGATGATAAATCATAATATTCTATATGATAAATCCTATTTTTTAATGATTTATCATTGTTCTGTTATGATAATCACATAAAATGCATGGTTTTATTTTACACCATGAGGAGGGTATGTATATTCCCTTTGTTCAATATATCTAAATTAACACTAATAAGCTGTAAGTTTAATTCAAATCCAGATTTCTGACCTTTGTAAAAATTATTTGTTGCCTTTCTCTTCTCTCCCAGCATATTGCTCAGAACTACATATGGATCCCTATTTACAACAAACTCCTAAGGAGCTGGAGCTCTTTGGTTAGCTTATTCTCATAACATTAATATTTATATAGGGCTTTATATATAAAATGTTGACAGTTATTTCATGTTATCCTTAAACCCCTATGAAATGAATGTCAATATCAGTATCCCTATTTTACAGTTGGCTAAGAGGAGTTAACTTTCTTAAAATCACATTATGAATAAAGAGGAGAGCCAAAATTTGAACACAAGTATTTCACTCCAAATCCTTTCATCTTTCCACTTACCAGAGCTATCTTGTAGAATTTTCTTAATAATGATGTATTATTATATCCTTGTTACTCTAGACATTTCTGTAAGACCTTCACTACTTAATTATCAGATTTCTATCTCCAACTATCTATTAGACATAACCTCCTTGGACATCTCATTGCCTCCCAAACACTACATGTGTACAATTAAATTGTCTTTTATCCCAAGTACATTTCTGCTTCTATTTCCCTATTTTAATTATCCTGCAATTTCCAGTATGAAACTTTAGGTTTTATTATTTTTATTTCTACTTTATTTCTTACCCTACCCCACCCTGTAGCCAATCTTCAAATCCTATCACTTTTAGTTCTTAATACTTCTTGAGTCTCAATATCTTCTTCTCTTTCCTTCTCTTTCCTACTTAATACTAATTGAATCTTAATACTTCTTGTCTTTCTGTCCATTGCCACCATCCAAACTCAAGCTACTCATCTGGTATCTACATCAGGTTCTTAAATTGGTCTCCTTACTTCAGGTTTCACTCCCAATTCATTCTTCGCAGTGCAACCAAAGAGCTCTTGCTGAATTCTTGAAAAAGACTCCCATTTTGACAAAAGATCAAGTCCAATTTCCTTAGCATAGCAATCTGCAGTTTCAACTCTGATCCCTTCCCTTTTGTCTAGCCTCTTACACATATAGCATAATATATGTGTTTGCAAAAAGCCACAGAAAACCTTTAAATTTTTATTAGGCATTAATAAGAATCACCTAAGTAATTATGAGCAATATCATTTGCTGCTACTACTTTAATAGAAATGTCTCGTTTATTTAAAGATTCTAAACTGTACTTCTAAATTTTTTCATTTACATATTTCATAGGATTTCAAAAATTCTTAATCAGGGCCAATATTATTTATCACAGTTTTACAAACGAGCACTTCTAAGAGAAGTCTGATGACCCTCAAAATCAACATATGATATGGAAATGTGACTCAAATTTAAATCCTCCTAACCAAAAATCTACAACCTCTGCCACACTAAACACCCCATACCGTACACCACAGTTTCTGCCCCTGTATCTCACAAAGATAAATGAATTACCTTATAGTTAGCCCCACCAGTGTCAAGAGCCAAACTAGATCATTTAAATTTTCCTTTATTGGGGGAGGGGGTTTCTTCCACTCCATGTACACCGCATGAACATCATAGCACTGCTTCACAGTACCCCTATCCAAACTCCTAAGCCACAAAAACACACAGTACATCATTGTTCACTAACAGTATATTTGAAAACAAACAGACTTAGGAATGGTTAAGACAGATAATAATAGACTGATTACAGGATGGTAGATCATTCCTGACACTGCATAAGATTAAGTATGCTAATCAGATTTTGGATTTAGACAACCCAGATAAATCCCAAGAAGAACAAGAGGAAGTACTCAAATCCTTACTTCCTTTTCTTGCTTTTCAAAATACATCTTTGTGTTTTATCTATGTCTCCTTCAGAGCTGAGGAATTATGAAGGCTTTACCCAGGTGAGTTGATTATATGTTCTTTTAACTTTCTCCTTTTTTTCCTTTTATTTTTTTCTTTTGCTGTTTTGAATGAAATATCCTCTATTTTAATCCTTGCTGTCCCAGATTAGTTGCTTAGCAAAGGATGATAGCAAAGGGAAAATTATTTGATTATTATATATGAAGACAATTTAACAACACATTTGTTTCCAGTCACAAAAAATCCAACAGCTGTTTGTAACTTGCTGTGTTACCAAATAGGATGGACACAGAAAAAGGAGGGATGGAGGAAAAAAATTTAAATAATCAGTGTATTTAGGCCCCTTTTATTTATGCTAAGAAAGACATCATATGCACATTTGAAT